ATTTTTACGTTTCCCGTCGTTAGTACGATAGGCCTTATGTCGCCCGAATTTTAGCGAAATGTTAATTTGTTCTGAGACCCTCATTAGCGGGGTAAGATCCACCTACATAGAAGTGTCACCAACGTTGCTCACAGTAGTGTCCGTATGAAAGAAATTCAGTGAATGTCGCGTATAAGCAAGTGGTACTCGCATGAAAAAACTCCGGTGGGTGCCGATTGTTAGTGATCGATACCCGCGTAAAAAAAATCCGGTGAATATCGCGTATCAGTGAGTGATTCCAACGAGGGGGGAAGAATGGACAGCTTCATTCGGATGGACAGATGGGCGTAGAACAGCAAAACTTATCTTCTGGCTACGTCCCAACAACGTGAATGTTTCGTCACCGATGATTTTCACGATCATGATGATATTTAACCCTCTTTTGTTTGGTACAGTTTTGTATATCAGACAATAATATTTTTTCATCATTTTTATCATTTTTGGCTTTTTCTTCCGCAGCTTTAGTGTTTTTTTTTTGAATTTTCAGATAGTTTTTTGCTGAAATTTTTAAAAAATTATTTTTTATCTGTTTTGCCGAATTTATATCTTTTTTTATTTTTTGAATAAAATACAAATTTTTTTGAATGCTTTTTCCATCAACGAGCTTTATCCATACTGCGCACGCTTCTTTTCACTTGCGTGAATATTCCTTCGTGATGTTTTGCTGCTTGCACAATGTGCACGTTTCTGGCTTTCGTAGGCAGACGCAATCTCAAAATTTTGTTTTCGTGGATGACAAGAGGCATTTGGATTTCTACTGGTACTGCAGCTGCTTGCTGTGCTGGCAAGGCTGTCGATGGCTCCCTCTTTCGAAGGTTGATTACCCATAAATGCTAAAAACTTCGGCTTTCTGGCACGCACGAGTACCAATTTATACCGAAAAACCCATAGATATAATTGTAACATTGGTGAAACTAACATGATCAAAAACACCTTTTTTTGGTTCTCTGTGGCTTCCACGTGCGCATACATAGAAACGTGAGCTTGCTTTACAAATTTTCCTTTTCGGAAAATTATAACCTAATTCT